TGCTTTTCTTATCTGGGGCCTCTTCAAAAGGGAGCTTTTGTATTACTTATACTGAAATGTGTACTGTTCATATAATGTTCCATGTTGGGAGAAATATGCTGTTTTACATAAATGAATCAGGACATGTTATACATACATAAGACTGGACAAATACAGCCATTTGATCTATTCAGTTGGATCGGATTAAGCCACAAGTGGGGTGGCTGGTTGGGATTTCTCCTCCAAGCAGGTCTGATCAATCTGCTGGGGACAGTCCTACTAGTAACCCTCATTAAACGCTCCCTCAAATGATGCACAGATATAAATCCACCAGAGTTATGCACCAAACCACAGACATGCAGCTCAATGTCCAAAATGGGTGATGGGCATACCAGGACTTGGTATTGCTTTGCTTCCTTTTCTGGCACCCTGATGGGAGTTGGGGGGTGGGCTACTGGGGGAATGGTCTGCCTTTATGGCTCCCATCCAGGCTGCCTAAGTAAAGGCCTTGGGCCCAGAACATTCTCTGATAAGGAGGCTGGGAATTGGGTCACCTTCTCTCCCAGTTCCTTCTCCTTATCAGAGAAGCCTTCACCCTGTTCTAGGCATACAGTAACTTTCTCTGTCTCTTGCACATGCCTGGGCACATACGGCACCTGGCCAACCTCACTTCTATACCTGTTCCCGGTGAGTAGGGAACGGGGTATCTCATACTACCGCGCAAGACGGGGAGTGTGCCAGATTGTAGGAGCCCTCCCTGAGGGGTGGACTGAAGGGGAAACAGGCTTTGTGAGTCCGAACATGAGCGCCCTCATGTGATCTACTAGTTCACTAAAGTTTGCTAAGTCATCCTTATGTAAGTCCCTGGCATGTAGCCTCTATTGTCCACTACCCCTATAAAACCTCCTCCCTCCCACTGCGGGGTGCAGAGATCTGCTTTGGTCCTGTGACTGCCCAGGACTTGCCTTGGTATGTACATCTCCCTAATAAATTCCTTTGCCGGCACACTGGAGTTGCCCACCTCTTTCTTTGATGTCTCCGTGCCCCATTTTCAGGGGCAAATTTCAGGTTACTGGTCCATGCCTGGACAAATGGGCTCAAGCATAGCAAACATTGTGGGGATGGTGCAGGACCAGGCAGTGTTTCGTTCTGTTGTTCACAGTGTCACTATAGTCGGAACCGACTCTATGGTACCTAACAGGTCTGGAATGGGGTCTGAGATTCTGCATTTCTAACAAGCTCCTAGGTGATGCCCAGTGTTGCTCATCCATGGACCACATGTATAGTAGTGAGGATCTAAATAACTCTAGACACCACAATACATGGTATGTAATATTAGAAGACTATTTCTAAGTCCTTCTTCAAATTTTCATTCTGAGCCACATCTCAAGATTACACATTTTGTAATTTTTACTTTGCCTCTTGAGAGGGGCCAAATAATGGGGACTTTTATGAATCGACCCAATAAATAACACATTTCTCCACCCAAATTTAGAATGGAAAGGTAATCGATAAAACAAGTTGTGTTACTTTTTTGGCTGATAAGTTAATATTGGAGAATCTACATGTATCTGTGGGCAAGCTGGCTTTATTATACAGAATCCCAGTCACAGGAAATGCTGAACCTCCTCAGGCTTCCTCATGTGGAGGCTCGCCCCTGTACAGCTTGCAGCTAAAGGAGCAGACAGAATGCATGTCCTCTGCAGGCAGACTCATTTCCAAGGAGCAAGGGGTCATGAGGGAAGGGGCTATGACTGTCCTCTATCCCAAACTCACCAATCAAATAAGTCTCTTCTGCCCTGCTTCCCATTGGGGAAGTAAATGAGACACTAGAGATAGGCCAAGATGGCTTTTTCTAATGGAGCTCTCACCACATGAAAGGAAATAATCAGGAGGGATGAAGAAGTGTTCTCTTACAATACATCTAGAAAGCTTGGAGCCAAATAGAGATGAACCTAGTAATTATGCAATTCTTGAGGAATATATTTCTGTAAATGAACTCTTCTCCTGGTTTAATTTTTATCATTTTTCCTTAAGCCCTATATCTTTAGTTACTTCTTCTTCTATGCATTGAATTAATAAAAATAATAGTTAACATTTATTGAGTTCTTGCTGTGTTCTATAGTTCATTTAATCCTCCTTCCCATAAAGTAGAGACTATTATTAAATCCATTCTAAATGAGGAAACTGAAGCTTAGATACGTTAGGTAACATGCCTCAAAATACACAACAAATAACTGTCCAAGCAGAAATACTAACCTTGGTCTGTCTGGTCCCATTTTCAATCACTATCAGTAGTGCCTTTATAATGTAACAGATGAATTTATGAAAACCACCTCAAATCCTCTTTTGGAATGAGGAATTGATTAGAGAAAGAAATGTAAGGAAAGGAAAGGAGAGAAAGAATTAGAGAAAATAGACACATCGCATAATGTCACTACTATCCTGGGAAGCAATATATACTACCAATTATCATTCTAGCCCAATCCACCTCCAAACCCATATACCAAGCCCATTATTATCGAGTCAATTTCAACTCATAGCAACCCCATGTGGGGTTTGAACTGCCAACCTTCAGTTTAGTAGTCAAGTGCAGATTGTTTGCACCACCCAGGGACCTAATCCACTTCCAGGCCTACCTAAATTCTTTATCCAGCGTTTTGGAGCTGGAAGGGGTTTTTAATAATGATAGCTAACATTTACTCAGGCACAGTTAGTTATCCTGCCCAAATTCATGTGACGAGTAAGTGACAGAGCTGGGATTCAAAGCCAGGTAATCTGGTTCTAGAGTCCATACTCTCAACACACCACCACACTGCCTTTAAGCACATCTATTCCAAAGCTCATTTTTCATACGGGAATATTAAGGCCTTGCCTTGCCCAAAGACATCTAGTTAAGGTGCAGCAAAACCTTTCTTGGGCTTGTTCTAAAACTTTTTTTTTTATTTCAAAGGCCTTTCTCCAGATAAAAAACATAATTTGTTTAAACCATTTGAATCCTCAACTATAAATCCATTCAACCAAGACTCTAGAGATGTGGCCTTTATATCTACACAGCATTTATCCTTCTCAAAAAAAGAAAAAGCTTTCATCATTTCAGTCACCCTCATCTAGACTATCTTCTGCTTCTCTACAACTTTCTATGGTTACAGTCACCAGCATTGCCTGCCGCACTGGGATGAACCATGGTTTGTTCAGGGTGATGCCTACATTTTCTCTTCAGTTTCCTCCTAATTAATGCCCAGGACCTTCCATTTGTTTTTCGTTGTTTTAGTTTAGTATATGTTTGGGTTTGTTGTTGTTTTGTTTTGTTGTTTTGTTTTTGTTTTAATTTGTTTGGTTTGGCTTGGGCAAAACAAGGGGCTGCCTATATCTGCATATTACTCTTGAGAGAACAGAAAGATGATTCTTATCTCACCTCTCCCCAAGTTATAAAAAGCAACTTAAAGCCCATCTTCCTACAAACACAAATTGTGTAATTTCTCCTTATATTTGAACAACCCAAGCTTGTCAATCACTTATCTGTAATCTCACACAGTCATGTCAGATATTCCTATAACTTCTTCTGCAATGGATTAATTTATTTCACTTTCCCCTAAAAGTTCAAAATTATCTGGAAGTATAGAGATTTTGCTGTATTTTTGTGTTCAACTAGAGATCCCATATTTAAGTAAAATATTGACAATCTAGTCTGGAAGTAAGAGATGAAAAATCTCTTAGCAGACAAGAAATGGTGATCAGAAATAAAAACGTGGTAGGAGTAGGGGTTATCTTTAGGGACGTGAAGATCTGTGTTGTTGCAGGTGCTCTGTGTAGTGTGATCTCTGGACTCAGCCTGCTTGGTTCAAATTCATCTCCACCATTTCCTAGCTGTCTCACTTACAGAAAGTTAATTAACCCTTAGTAGATTGTTTCTCATCCATAACTGTATTTAATGTATATAAAAATGTACATCATTTCCTCCTCATAGGGTTGGGGATTAGATGGTTTAAAAACAGGTAATGTACTTAATACCTTGTCTGACACATGGTAAGCACTTAATAACTACTATTGTGTGGAAGAGAGATTAAACTTATACCTTGTGGTCTGAGACCAGCAGAGAGGGGATATAAAAGAGGCAGACTCTGGCTTAACATAAGAAATAAGTTTTAGTAATTAACACCGTACCTGGCACTCAGTATGTGCCCAATAAATATTGAATGAATAGGCAAGAAAAAATAATGAATACGCCTTTCAGAGAATGGAATGGTGGGCCTCAGGAGGGCATAAGTTTCTGATCACTGGATCATCTCAACAGATGCTTGATGACAACTTATGACAGACTTATGATTAGTGGAAATTCAAGTATAGATGGGAGTCTGGATCTGATGACTTCCCTCCATTTTTCCCCTACCCTCTTGTCTCTGCCAAAAAAGAGCCCAGATCTTCTAGGTTTGTCTAAGTACTAGTGTCACAAGGGAATTAGATGGAGACTGTAGAAAAGAAGATAAGGCAATGACAAAGGTGCAAGAAGCATTGAGAATCTCAGTCAACCATCTTATTAGTGAGAACACATTAAACTATTTCAATTTCCTTTGAAGTTCTCCATTTCTCTCCGTTCCAAATTGACTTTTTTTAATCAACCCCAAGGATGGTTTTTCTGGACTTTCTTCCTAAGATTTATCCTCTACCACCTCTCCACCCCTTCTCTTGCATATGCCTGAGGATACCGAGCAAAAGTGAATGTATATGGCAACAGTAGATATTTGGCTAGGAGATGAGGCTGAAAAATAGACTGGGGAACAGACTGTGAAGTGATTGATTGGTTGGCTGGTTCTTGGGCATCCTAGGTGCATTTATTTAATAAATTTTATTGCACTTACTATGGGCTAATTATTGCTTAGTACTGGGAATACATAATAGATTGTATATAACCTCATACATAGAGGATCTCGTGGTCTCTTTATCTCAGTCCTAAATGGGCTTTCCTTGCTGGTGACTCTAGTTCAGCACAGCCATGCCCTCTCTTTCCCATGGATTAGAGAGTGGCCTCTCATCACAGAGCACTCTCCCTTTTCCATCCATTACCTTTTGCTCTGACACGGGTCTGCATGGCTCAGTATGAGAATAACTTCAACACTTGGGCCTTTAATGGAGGAAATAGCAATGGCAGTAGTGACTATGGGATCTTCCAGCGGAACAAGTGGTGGTGCAAAGACAACAGGCATTCCTCAGAAAATGCCTGCAACGTAATGTGCAACAGTAAAGTCTCTATTCCCTCTGATGGCTGGGTGAAATGAGGGTGGATAAAATAGGCGCAAAACTGAATGTTCTGCTCCCTAACACCTGATCCTGTCTGTGCTGAGGAAGCTGGGTACAGGAGATAAAAAGTGCTGAACAAGTCTCACCCTAAAACAGAGATTCTCCTGCTGCAAAGGAAGAAGAAAATACACTGGCCTCTAAGACTCCTGAATCCCCAAACTATTTCAACCTCCTCACCATCATGGGTCTCCATCTCTTAAGCCATGTTATCCCTATTCCTGGTACATGCACCACTGCACCACCATTCCACATACCCACACACAGCACTGTGGACACACTGAGCACTTTCCTGAAAACAAAGGCTCTCTCTTGTCCACCAGGTATTGGATACCTTCTGGAAGGACCAGTGCCCAGAGACAAATTCTAAGCAAAGGCAAGAAAACCTAGGCACAATTGAAGGTAAACCCAGAGAAGGGTTCCAGAAAGAAAGGACTTCTGAATCCCAGGACTGTTTCCTCTGGGAACTCCGTTCAAAATATGATCAATTATTAAAAATAGGAAAAAGGATTTTTCCCTCCCCACTCATCCACTTTTCCTTTCAGAGTTTATGAATGATGACATTGATGATGACATCCACTGTGCCAAGACAGTTGTGAAAGATCCTAATGGGATGTCTGCCTGGTAAAGTGAACATGAGGGCAGACTAGCCACTCTGCCGGGGTGGGCCCAGACAGTACCTAGGATGCTGACATAAGCAACATCTATGCTGTAAGGATTTTTCCTGGGATTGGGAGGGGTTGAGACTATTCTCCTGAGGTGAAAATGAGGCACAGTATATTGTGGTGGCTTCACCCCCAAGCATCACTGGAGCACCCACCCACATGTATCCTGGATGGGCAAGCCCCCCTATCTGACACTCTCCTATAGCACAAACTGACTCCAACCAGCAGGCCTAACATTCCCTCTCAGCCGAGCCCCATACACACCCCTGCCCATCTCTGATCTATGCTTTCTCTATCCTTAGGGTGGCCTGGGTATAACACTGCAAAGATTTGGATTTGTCCAAATACCTGGCTAGCTGTAAGCTGTCAGACTGTCTTTGAATGTGGTTCCTGAAGAATGTTGCCCAGAAGACAGGGCAACTCAACATTTTTGGAGGCTCTGAATCTTCCCCCATCCCTGCCTCCAAAATAAAAATTACTCAACCTGTCTCAAGTAGCATGTTTAAAGGCTGGGTCATGACGAAGACTTTCTGCAGAAACTTCTGCTGGAAATCTTGTTCTCTCCAAGACTACCACTCAAGTTTCCCTGGAGTTTCCCATATCTCTTCTGGAAAAACATTTAAGGAAAATCCTTGCCTGAGAACTTCTTGGGTGTTACCCAGTCTGGGCTCAAAGTGACACTTGAACATGGCATTCAAGATGCCAGCTTTTATGGAATTCATTTAGTGGAGGTAGCTACCCTTATTTTCCATTACCAGGAAGGCAAGCTCAGGATGAAACTGAAGAAAATTGTGAGAAAGATTTGGTTTAGAGATTGGGAAGGACTGGAAGAATATCAGAATGATTATGTTAGTTACTGTAAATGTCTAAGATGCTGTAACAGAATTCCAAAAATATAGTACGAGTAATTTATTTGTCTCTCACATAACAATCCAAAGTGGGTAGACAGACTCCTTTGAAACCCAGGATCTTTCCATCTTGCATCTCCACCATCCCCTGCAATCGTGCTACTCATAGTGTGATTCATGGACCAGCAGCATCACTTTTCACCTGGGAGCTTGTTAGAACTACGAATCTGGAGTCCACTGCCAACCTACTGAATCCTTGTTTTAATAGTTTAATGAGCTCTCCAGGTGATTCTTATGTAGAGTAAAATTAGAGAAGCACTACCTTAGAGTACTGTCCTCATCTATATGGACAAAGCTGGATGGAAGGTACATCCCTGTTCCAGTTTGTGGGAGGGGGAATGAGGGTGGAGAACACACGTGCAAAGTTTTAAAGCCCAAGCCTGGAAGAGGCACATCACTTCCACTTAAATTCCAAAGGTAAGAATTTAATCACACAACCATACCTAGCTGCAAGGGGGCCTGGGAAATGTAGTTCCTAGCAACACAGCCATGGTCCTGCTACAGAACCATGGAAAATGGATTTCAGTGAACTAGCAGTTTCTGTAGTGATAAAGCACTTAATAAAGTCAATCATAATCACTCATATTCCTGTAAATCCCACTATGACTCATAAGATACAACCATATTACAGTATTTTTGTGTCCCACCACCCCTGGGTGGTGCAAATGGTTAAGCACTAGACGATTAGCTGAAAGGTTGGAGGCCCGAACCCACCCAGAGGTGCCTGGGAGATAGGCCTGGCGATCTGCTTCCAAAAGATCCCAGCCTTGAAAACCCTATGGAGCAGTTCGACTCCACACACGTGGGATTGCCATGAGTCAGAATCGACTTGAATGCATCTAACAACAACATCCCTTTATTCTGTGGGGCAGGTTCTTCTTTTGCCTCTGAATAAAAACTCAGGCTAGTACTGTGACTTTTCTGGTCACTCTCAGGTAATGAAAGCACACCAACTCTCTCCAAAGAATCCTTCTCTCCAGCTCTTTTCTTGGCCTCTCCAACAAGTTTAACAGGCTGACAGTGAAAGCTCAACGAAGGATTCAAAAATAAATTCCCACCATCTCCTTTTGTAGACATTTGTTGTCTTCATTTCACTGTGGAATGTTCCATCTAAGAGCCTCAGCTAAAACTGAAACTAAACTAAAAACTGATGCTAAAATTTAGCATCCTAATATAGTATCTTTTAACAGTTTACAAAGCACTTGCAGAGAGACTAGATCTTATTTGACCCTACAACCACCTTATGAAGATCCCTAGGTGGTAAACAGTTCACACTCAACTGCTAATCTTAAGGTTGGCAGTTCAAACTCACTCAACAGTGCCACAAAAGAAAGGTCTGGCAATCTGCTTCTGTAAGATCACATCCAAGAAAACTGTATGGCACAGTTCTACTCTGTAATACATGGGGTCACCATGAGTCAGAATCCACTCGACGACAGCTAACACTCTATGTGTGTCCTTGGGTGGCACAAACGGTTAAGTACTTGGCTGCTAACCGAAAGGTTGGTGGTTCAAGTCCACCCAGAGGTATCTCAGAAGAAAGGTCTGGCAACCTATTTACCAAAAAATCAGTCATTGATAACTCTAGACACAGTTCTACTCTGACACACATGGAATCACAACAGAAAGCAAGACACTGAGGTCTCATTTCCTGACTGCCACTATCCCTGCCTCATTGCTCCTGCGGCTGCCACCTTCTGGGTAGCTCTGAGTGGATGTCATTCCTGCTGCTGTTACAACTGCTGGCTCAACTCCTTTCCTCTCGTCAGTGTGATATTTGCCCATAACGGTAAAACTTATGATACATTTTGACAAGTTTTCTGTATCTAAATGTAATAACGTTAAGTTTCCTCAGTATTGAAAAGATGCAGCATGCTCTCTAAGTGTTCTCTGGTGGTCATAACTAGTCCCTGCAGCCATGTCCATTTATGGTAACTTTGACCAGAAGAGGAGGCCTTGCCTGAAGGCAGACCTTTACCAGATCACAGATGCACCAGGCTTCAGCTTTGTGTCCAGCACTTTTTCTGCAGCCATGATAAACAACTAACGCTAAAATTCAACAGCTAATTTTAATTCAACAAATATTTATGAGCATTTGCTATATACACAGCTGACAGGAACTCATTATACGATGACATCAATGCCATCACAGTGCTAGTACACTATAGGAAATCAATAAACTTTCACTAAACAAGGATACAGAAGCCAGAGTGTATGAATAAGCATTCAAGCAGGCAGTCAGTGCTAAAATGGAGGTAGAAAAATAATCTCTAGTTTGAGGCAGAGGTCAAGCTGGAAAGGTTTTTTTGGTGCAGCACAAGTCTCTAAATGTTCAGCAAGGTCAATGGGAAATCCATGAGTCTAAAATTTGGTATCCATTTCTTAAAAAATACTCTTGGCAAGCTAGGAATAGAAATTTGTTAACCTGATAAAAAGTATCTACCAAAAAAAAAAACTTCCAAGTTTTTTAAAGTTTCTTTGAAATCAGAGTCAAAGGAAGTTTGCCCTCTGTTACCACTTTTATTCAGTATTGTACTAGAGGTCCCAGCCAGTATATTAAGGCAAAAAGAGGTTTAAGAACTAGAAAGGAACAAAACTGTCATTATTTATGAATGACATGATTACATACTTACAAGATCCAAAAAATCTACAAAGAAATCACTAGAATATGAGAACTTTGCAAAGTTACTAAATATAAAATCAATATATAGAAATCAAATGTATTTCCATTAACCAGTAACAAAATTCAAAGAGAAATTTTTAAATACAACTACATGTAAAAAAAAGTTATCTAGAAACAACTCCAACAAATTATGTGAAGACACCTTGGGGGAAAATATAAAACTTTATTGAGATAGAAACTAAAGATCTAAGTGAGGAGATGTAGCATGTCCAATGTTTTTATGTACTTCATTTCTCCCAAAATAGACCTATAAAATCAATGTAATCCAAATCAGAATCCGAACAGAATTTTCATAGGATTTGACAGGCTAAATCTTACTTTATATACATTTATATGGAAACCCAAAGCACCAGAAAATATATATATAGATATGGACATAAAGATATCTTGAGTCAATATAAAGGGGTTGGCATAAGCAGTGGAGTGAAAGGATAAAGCTTGTTTTAGAAAGATCATTCTGTCTACACTATGGATTACAGAAGGGCAAGATTTGAGGCTGGGAGCCTAGTTAAGAGGCTATTTATTGCCTTTCTCAAGAGAGAAAGGATGAAGACCTAAACCAGATCACAAACCCAACACCTGCAGGAGCAAGGAATGTAACATAAATGAGTAATGTAGGCAGGTTCCCACTTACCAACACCAGTCTAGATACTGTCCCTCCAACTGTCTAACTTGTCAGCAGGAGACCAACACTGCACCCCCTGATGTGGCACTATTCCTAGGACACCAACTAGCTTCTTGGAAGTTGAGTCAAATACATGAGGACCCCTTCCCCCTAGAAGAGCCAGCAGGACATCCTCACAGGGAGACTTATTCTGGGTATGGGTTTTACCTTTCCTGCCTGCGAGGCCTTAGCTAGTACCAGAGATATGAAATTCCACACAATATAGCACCTGAACAGGGGATTCACTTCACAGCAAAGTAGGGATCCACTAGTCATATCACATACTGTATCATCCAGAAGCACCTGGCTTCAGAAAGCACTGAACCATCTATTAAAGGTACAGTTGAAGCTGGGAAGAAATGCTTTGCAAGAACGGGAAGCCACACTTCAGGGCATAGTATACGCACTAAATCGAAGACTTCTATATAGCCCTGTGTTGCATTGGGAAGATCATATGGATCCAGGAACAAAGGAGTACAAGCAGCAGCCCTCCTTATCACTCCCAAAGACCCTCTGAAGTATTTTGTGCTACTCAACCTCACTTTAGGCTCTGCAGGATTAGAGGGCCTGGTCCTCAAAGGAAGCGCACTCTTGCCAAGGTATGATAGCAAGGAGCCAGCTGAACTACAACTTCAGCATCAAGATGATTGATGGTAACAATTTATTCCTACCTCTGTGTTTCAGCATCAGGCCCAATTTCTTTGAATGTTTTATGTATTATCCTACCCCTAGAGAATTCTGAGATGACAACCGGACATTAATTGTAGACTGGATTTGAGGAGTAACAGAAAGGAAGGTTAAAAGAGGGAAGATACTTGGAACTGGTAGTCTTTAATGGAAGTCCCACCCTTCTCATTTACTGGAAGGTTTTTACCTTAACCTTCAAACCAAAACCAAAATAAGTTACCAAAAATGTATTTACTTCTTGGAGTGTATCTATCCTGTTTTCCATCAGAAACAGCTAGTCCCTAAGACCAAAAAAAATGAGACACTCAAATACAAACAAAACACGCATTCAATTCAGATGATTATTTTACATTTTCATATTTTCTTTAACATTTAATAGAAACAATATACAATAGATTTTACTGTATCTTACATAAGATAGCCACTATAGAAATTTACATAGGTTAGAAGCAAAAAGATGATTAAGGGGGTCCTATGGGCTACTTTCTCAGAGGACATGGGTCAGAGTTCAATGAGAGAAGGGGGTTCAAACTACCCAATTAGGTGACAGGTGAGGAAAGGCAAAAAAAACCGCAGGCTGTTGGATAATTAGACACTGGGTCCATCAATATTCCAGGGCACCACTCATACAGACAGCTCCCACCTAATCACCTATATGGATTCCTGTCCAAGACTTTGAATCCCATTACAAAGATGTCCCTCGGGCCCAGCCCCAAATACTTAACTCAATGCCAGCAGCTTCAAGAGGGATCACCTCTCTCTCCCTGGCCCAGAGTAGGAAGAACCCCAAAACTTTCAGACACTATTCGTCCATTCCCCCAAAATCTGGTTTGACTGTAATACTCAATAACCCAGAAGAAAAACAAAGTAGTCTGGGTTGCCCCTGTTTAGTGAGAGATGGTCAGAAACACTTATTTGGAAAATGGGGAATTTAAATCCTCCAAAGTCAATGGTTCCCAAAACAAACTATCAACTGATAGATGTGGGTTCTGCTTCCCCATTTGCAGTAGCCACTCCACTCTGAGGCAATGGTGCAGAGGCTTTCTCAGAATTTCGAGATCCCTGTGACCTGCATCCATCTACATTCATCTGTATCTGGCCCTGTTAAAATAAATAAAGGTACTTAGTTACAAATTCATTCATTATGATTTGAAGCATGAAACTAACTCATCAATGCCCATTTATGTTGGCACCAAGACAGCAGAAATAAAATAATTCTGGGCAATTGCCCTATATTTAGTTATCCCTGTCCCTTAGGGTCAGAACCCATTACTTGTAGCATTCCTGAGGCTCTCCCAATGGGAGAGCTGTCAGCTGTTTCTTCCAAATGAAATGGCCATTCTCTGCTGAAGTTCCACAACAGCCAAAAGACCATAGGAAGATAGTTCTTTGGGCCTCTGCTTGAAACCAACAGCTAATACATAACTGCTGGTCTTCAGTTAGGGCCTGCCACTGGTATCCTACCCAAGGCTCAAATAAAGAAGCCAAATCACATTACTTGCCCTTATTCTACAAGGGAAACAATTCCATTGCTGAACTCCCCCTTAAAAGAAACAATTTACCCAAATTCCTTGCCTCAACTTTTTCTAGTTAAATAAATAAATTCTGTACTGTTCTCTGAGATACGGGGGCCAGAGGCAATGAGGTGTTCTAAGGGCCCATCTGGAGAACTGAAGAAACAAGGGCATTCAGGAGCAGAAAAAATGCATTTTTTTAAGTACCTTCCTTACATGGTATCACTGAGCGAAAGCCATCTGGGGCATCTTTACACTCTACTTGTGATGACACCCTCACTCCCTGAGAGTTCAGTTTAGCCAGCAGGGAGCCCTCTGCCTGGCTGGGTCACTACAAGAGGGAAGCCTGGCTAGGGTTGTTCTTCACTTGCCAATATATCCACTGGGCCTTCAGCAATTTCCTTGATTGAATGATCTTCAAGGGTTAGTGAAGGATCAAAAAGCAAGGGTGAAGGAGGGCACTGCATTCCATCACCCACAACATCCAAGTCCTAGGAAAAGAAAGAGAAAAGCCTATCAGCGATACCAAAGGAACCAATAAGCTAAAGATGGAATACTTTTCAGGAAATCTCAAAGCACTTCTCCCATTCTCCACCCTTCCCTCCTCTTGCCATCCTTTAATCCAAAAAAAAAAAGATTTTCCCACCATGTCCAACAAACAGAACAAAATCCAAAAGCACTGAGAATTTTGCTGCCAAGTATAAAGCACACCACACACCACTATAATGGCTTTTCAAAAGAATATACTCCCTCCAAGGCTAACTGTAGTCAACCTCTGGATTCTAGTGGAAAGAGTAGTTCATCAAAACCTCATTTAAACTATATTTACTTCCTTTCCAAATGAACTAGTAAGTTACAGCACAGATTTTCCTAACCTAGCAAAGACCTCAATTAATGGCCAAATGGAAGAAGCAGCAGGATTAACTTCTAATTTAAAAAATCAAGACCCAACACTTCTAACTTGCAGTACTGCTCTAGGTGACTCTAATATGGACAATCAGCACAACTGCAAATTTTAGGAAATGAAAACATTGCTTAAAAATACTGGGCAACATAGACACATCCAAACTCCCTGAGGGACTGAACTGCTGGGCGGAGGGCTGTGGGGACCATGGTCTCGGGGAACATCTAGCTCAACTGGCATAACACAGCTTATAAAGACAATGTTCTACATTCTACCTTGGTGAGTAGTGTCTGGGCTCTTAAAAGCCTGTCAGCGGCCATCTAAGATACTCCACTGGTCTCATCCCTTCGGGAGCAAGGGAGAATGAAGAGAACAGGATACAAGGAAAAGATTAGTCTGAAGGGCTAATTGTCCACAGCTACCAAGGCCTCCACCAGACTGAGTCCAGTACAGCTAGATGGTGCCCAGCTACCACCACTGACTGCTCTGACCAGGATCACAACAGAGGGTTCTGGACGGAGCTGGAAAAGGATGTAGAACATAATTCTAACTCACAAAAAAAAAAACCAGATTTACTGGACTAAAGGAGACTGGAGAAACCTCGGGAGTATGGCCCCCAGACACTCTTTTAGCTCAGTGGTGAAGTTATCTCCAAGGTTCACCGTTCAGCCTGGGAGTGGACAGCCCCGTAAAACCAAGCGAGACTAACGAAGTACAGTAGTCCACTGACGAGGGCCAGAAGGCAGAACGGGACAAGGAAGCTGGTGATAGGGAACCCAAGGTTGGGTAAGGATACTGTTGATGTATTGTGAGATTGTTAACCATTGTCATAGGGCAACATTTGTAGTAACTGTTAAATGAGAAACTATTTTGTTCCGTAAGCCTTCATCTTAAGTGAGAATAACAGCACAATTGGAAGAGCATAGTCAATGTCACCGAACTATGCATGCAGAAATTTCTGAAATGGTTATCTTTGGCTATGTGTATTTTCACCAAAAAAAAAAAGGCTGAGAAGTTAGAGGGTTGACATGTTGTGGGGTTGTTAACCAATGTCATAAAACAGTATGTGTACTACTGTTTCATGAGAAACTATTTGTTCTGGAACCCTTCACCTGAAGTACAATTAAAAAAAAAAAAAATACTGGGCAATACGAGACTGCTTAATTAATGCCCTAACAGCCACAAAGCAAGCAAGGACAGAGAGAAAGGTAGGGAGGACAGAAAACTCAAAGTTCCTCTGAATGGGTAGAAAACAGAAAATACTATTTTGGGTAAATCTCTATCACCACAGAGTAAGTCTCTGATTCTTCAACCTAAAGTAGTCCAATTGCTCTATATATTAAAGAAAAAGAAAAAAAAAATGACGGGAGAGAGGGTATGAGAGAACTCTATACTTTCTACTCGATTTTTCTGTAAACTTAAAACTGTTCTAAAAAATAACGTCTACTAATTAAAAAAAAAAAAGACATTATATTTCTACAGAGTATGTTTCTTCCAACTGAACTGGCCATTCCCCATTGTGGTAATGAATAGCCAAAAGACCACAGGAAGACAATGCTCTTGGCTCCTGTTTGAAACCAACTGCTACAGCAAACCACTGGTCTTGATTCAGGGCCTAAGACACAGCAAAAAGCTCAGACAAAGCACAACAAACTAAGTTTTATGCCACTGCTTTCCAAGAGCCTGATGCTAAACTCTCCCAAGAGTTAAAAACACCCAACATTATGCACTCCCCTGAGCCCACTCCACTTTATAGAGGTTGTTTCCAGTAATCTAACTTCACATGAAGCTTAGTTCTATGCTCTTTAAGAGTCTGCTATCCTTTCTCTCTTTTTGGTGTCCTAATCACCAAAAATTGAGAACCACATCTTCACAATAATTAAAGAATATGATTAAACAACTTACTAGATTTAAAGTAGTTCAATTTAAGCAGAAATGTCCTTCTCAGATATGTTTGAAAACTTTTGTACTATCCACAAAAACCAGTGTTACCTCACAGGGAAGATTCTGAAATCTATTTTCTGCAGTTTTTTTACTACACACAACTATCGTATCAATAACTGGAACTTAAAAGAAACCATTTAATAAGCAGTGACACAAAAGAGATCCAAATCTTAAGATGACAATGGAGGGAATGTTTTCAAAGGAAAACAGAACTGAAAAGGCTTTCTCACATGCAGTGTTGTCTGTTACAAAAATTAAAATTTGGGAAAGGAATCTAAAGTAAGAGAAGAAAAGATAAGCAAAAATGTCTATCCTAACAGGAATGACTGGAAGCTGAAGTATGAGGACACAGAATTTAGGTTTGTTATTATCTCAAAAACAAAATTCATCAGGGAAGGGAGGGGAAGACAGACATAATCAAGTACTAGAATTAAGGTATTAAAAGTTGCTATTTGCCAGACTCCTGGGATTGAAGCACAGAAAACTAGCAAAAGTAATATCCAGAATAAAGGCTGAAATCTTTCCTAACCATGTTAACATCTGATACTTGGTCTAGCCACAAGCAGAGTTACCAGAAGTTATCGTACTAACAAGTTGCAGAATGACAACTAAGGCAGAATGTAGGTAATGAGTTAATTTTTAGCTTGGTGAAGTTTATATAATTTAGAAAGATTTTTTTCCAGCAAAATTTTGCTGGTAAATATACCCAGAATTTATGTGGACAAAAACTCATTTCTAAAACTGGATTTTGTTTTGGTACTTTTTGCAGAATTTTTACCCCCCCTAAAGATTAAGGGAAGAATAAAACTTACTTTTTAAGATTAATGTGCTTAACAAAAGTATGTTAATACAAACATAACAGATGCTCAACTACAAATAGCTGGTTGTTTTTCATTTTTAAACCTCTTAACAACAAAGGTTCATCTTAAAACATTATCAGATTCTCAAATAAGGTTATTTTTCATGACATTCTTTGAAAAATTAATGCGACAAATTAACAAATCTGATGATGTATTTTCAAATTTTTTTATTATTACTTACATGTCAAGAAACAGCCTATGATCACATCTCATAATCTAGTATTTTCACTCATTCTCCAAAGAGGCAAGTAACCGTATGTAATCCTCGAACATACTGTAAACAGTCATATTTTTTTAAATCTAGATTATCAAAGGTTTGTGAAAATACCACTTAAAAACTAACAGTAAAACATGGAAAAACTTTGTGTACCAAGCAGTCAAAAACGTAAGCAAAAGGGTTTGAAAAGTAAAAAATTCGAAACAGAAATTGTTCTAGAAATTAATAATTAGATGAATAAAGGTTAATGACCTAGACTGTGTGCATATACAGGTTGCAAAATACGTGTGCTAGTTTTAGTTTATACACATGTACGTTAATATTTTAAGAGAATTTAGTGATGTAACATTTATTAGGTTATTAGATCCTATAAAGGTGCTCATGTTACGAAGTTTTAAAAAAAAGACAGCACCCCTCTGGGTTTTCTTCAAGTATTAGATGAAGGAAGTGAACAAAAACCTGTCCTTATCAATCTAGGACTATCCACTTACGGTCTTCAACATAACCTCACTGGAAAAGTTTGGGAGGTACTGGGATATATAATCGCTAACGTCTCTTTCTAGTTCTCAGTCTATGAATCTATGCAAAATAAACTGTCTAAAAGCAATTATAATCAGGATAATAAAAAGTTATGTTATTATAAATGAAGTAATTAAAATCGAGTCTCCTAAGTCTATAGACAGTTTATAGCCAAGAGAAAAGAATTATTAAAAAAAAAAAATGGAATCAGGTTTCCCAAAAAAATTACTGGCCTAGTTTATCTCTTTTCATAAGAGAGACCCTTTGGGACACCCAAACCTTGCTTCTACTCTTAGCAAACAATCTTGCAACTTAAACTGATTTTTCCATTTAGATCTGATCTTTTACTTAAATACGTTATGATTATATGCAAGACACCTTTATTATTAAACTTTGAAAATTCATCTTCAAAATAAATAAGGAAGACCTTTATCCAGAGGGTTAAAGATTAAGCAAGGTTCTAAAATAAAGATGGAATGTCAATTGATCCCTAAAATCAAATACTAGCTTAGTGCTAATTAGGAAAACAAATGAAATTAGAGATGGGTTTATGTGGCTGAGACCAATCAAGGTACAAGCTGAAAAAGATAAGAGTGGTGTGCACACTTAGAAGGCCGTAAAAGCAAACACTCTTGAGGGGGTCAGTGCTGTTCTAGTCAGTTCAAAGTAGAATCTGTAATAACACATTAAAAGTAAAAACAGTAGTCAGAGCTAAGTTTAGAGTCATTTCTTGGGGCACACATTAATCTAAAAATGACAACCTTACTATAAGGTCAAAACACAAGTATAGAAATCAGAATTCTTTTATATTATTAAGATTGTAATGAATGACTTACCTATGGATGGGTACCAAAGTTTCAGCCACACCAAATCCAACCATCACTGTGACATTCCAATTTCCCTTAATTATCCCTTATCACTCTCTCAGAAAAACTTCTGCAAATCTAAACAATGTGGTTTTAGAAGTGTCAAGATGGACAGAACAGACAGATGACTTTTGCTTTTTTGTCTGAATGAAAACAGTGATTTAAAAATAAGTCCTTTCCTAGGTATATACCCAAGAGAACTGAAAACATGTCCACACGAAAACCTGTACAGGAACGTTCACAACAGCATTATTCATCATGGCCAAAGAGTGTAAACAACCAAATGTCCATCAAGTGAGGAATGGATAAACAAAATGTGGTATATCCATAACATGGAATACTTATTCAGCCATAAAACCAAATGAGGTACTGATACATCTTACAACATGGGTGGACCTTGAAAACACTTATCTTAAACAAAAGAAGGCAGACACAGGTGGTCACATATTATGACTGCATTTACATGTAATGTTTAGAATAAACAAATCTACAGAGACAGAATATAGATTAGTGTTTTCCAAGGACTGGGAAAAAGGAGAATGGGCAGTGTTACGGATTAAACTGTGTCCCCCCAAAAAATATGTGTTGTAAATCCTCACCTCTATGCCTGTGGTTATAATCCCATTTGGGAATGGGTTGTCTTTGTTATGATAATGAAACAGGATTAGTGCAGGGTGTGTCTTGAATCACTCTCTTTTGAGATATAAAAGAGATTAAACAAGCAGTCAAGCCACATGAAGATCACCCAGGAGCAAAGCTCAGAAGAGACAAGGACCCTCCTCCAGAGTCAACAAGAGAAAGCCTTCTCCTGGAACCAGCACCCTGAATTCGGACTTGTGGCCTCCTAAACTGTGAGAAAATACTGTTTGCTAAAGCGACCCATTTGTGGTATTTGTTACAGCAGCACTAAATAACTAAGACAGGGAGTGACTGGTAATGGGTTGCTGGGTTTCTTTTTTTGGGGGGATGAAAAAGTTCTAAAATTTAATAGTGGTGATGGTTACATAATTCTCTGAATGTATTTAAAAAAAAACAAACACTGAGTGAAATTCATGATATGTGAATCATATCTCAATAAAACAAACTATGCAGGGGAAAAAAAGTATGGAAAATCAGGTAGGGATTTACACAATCTCTCAATCAATATGCTCAACATACACATACAACCACATGTATATTATTTTAAAAACTCTGTTATCAGCTCTCCTGACCACAAAGACTAACCTTTTCTCATCATTAATAAATAAGGCCTTGTCTCAAGGGCTAACCAGAGCAGAGCTTCTCTAACTTACATCACTGAACTCCAGAGGTAAACTCTCAGTCGGCTGAAGCTCAGCAGCACTCAAGTACAGATCCATGGGGCCGGCTTCCAGATCGTCTGGCACAGATAGTACCTGCTCAGGCTTATACATCTGAGGAGGCAACTGGAAATGCAGTGGGCAGCAGGGATCCTCAGAGAGGCTTACAGGAACTGCTTTGTTGCAGGGTACCTCCTCAGACCCCTGGCAGCATTTGAAGAGAACCTGATTTGTATCTTGACAAATATCTGTAGAAAAATGGTCAAGGGAAATAAAACGGGATCTAGCCAAGGTACAAAATACAAAAAGCGATATACTCAAAATTGTCTGCCATGTAAAATTCAAGATCTGGACTAAGCAAAATAATTAGTTACACTTGATACAGAAAACCAAATGCAGTTAGCAATTTAAGTTACTTCTCAAAATAAGTGTCACTTACTAGCACCTAATCCTAGCTCTATCAGAAATCTAATGTAAGTCCTGTAACCTGTTTCTGAATCCCAGTCATTTAAACTTAAGACACTAATCTTGTTCTCCCTTATGAGGGTGAAGTACAGAAAAACTTCTGTAAATACAGTACTAAGCAAGTACCAATAACATTCCTAGAAAGCTACCCCTATTAATATGTCATGGCAAATGTAAATGGCTCACAGAGGTCCCTACCAACCCCTTCCAAGAGGTAAGAAATACAATGTTGTTTCAACTGTTAAGGAGACTGGCAGCCAAAGTTTTAAAACTTCTTGGACCCTGTTTCCAAAGATATAATTCCATGATAACTTCATTTAAAGCAGCAGGCATCTGGGGAAAACAAAAGCTCTAGTAACAGTCACCAAGCATATCCTGTGGAGTCCCTGGGTGGTACAAGTGGCTAACTCACTCAGCTGCTAACCAGAAGGTTGAGTCTAGCCAGAGGCACCTCGAAGGAAAGTCCTGGTGGTCTACTTCCGAAAAATCAGCCACTGAATACCCTATGGAGCAGTTCTACTCTGACATACGGGGTGTCACCCTGAGTCAGAATCGACTTAATGGCAACTGGTTTATCATATCCTGACAGGAAATAAAAATTTCCCTTTTTTTTTTTTGAGGGTAGGCGCAGGGGGAGCTCTGTTATCATCCAAAAGAGAAAAGGAAGATAATTAATTTTCCTCATGAGGGCCCATGGAAAGAAGTACTCCAGGAACACTCCAGGAGCTCTATAACAACTTCTATTAAGGGTAGAAGCCGAGAAGGGCTATATTTCCGAGTTGTCAAAGAAACTCTGTAGAATGAATCAAAGTTGAAATCATGATTAGATAAAATAACAAAATTCCAGTTCAAATTATTCTACAAAATACATTTACTAAGGAGTCCCCATTTCTTGAAATACTAACTACATGGTTATTTCCCATGGATTAACAAATGAGTGTCATTTTAAATTTGGGCTTATTTTTAAATCAGAAAGCACAATTTTCTATAACTGTACCCAAGATTATAGAATCACAGGTTATTTTTATCCCAAAAATTTTAATGCAATTTTTAAAAATAAAAAAATCTAACGCACATAATTTCTTAAACTAAATAAAACTTCTTGAGTAAAGTCATATTTTTCAATCCACACTTGGGAATGGCCAGATTTGAAAGCAGGGTTTCAATAGGGCTTCTAAATGGTTCCTTTGTTCTGGCTGAACCCCTGCTGAGAATTTGCATTCCTACCAGTTCCCAGGAAGTTATACATTAAGAATCACCTGGAAATCTTGTTAAAATGTAGATTCTGATTCAGTATATCTGGGGATAGAAATGCAAATTCTCATCAGAGAACCTGTTAGAAACACAAATTCTCAGCAGGGTTCAAACACCTGTTTCACGATCTTAGCACTACCAACACTTTATGTCAAGTACTTCTTTTTATGGGGAGTTGTACTGGCATCTTTAGGATGTTTAGCAGCATTCCTGGCCTCTATCTACTGGATGCAGAAGTACCCCCTCTCCCAGTTATGACAGCCAAAAATGTCTCCAGACATTGTGAAATGTCCCCTGGGATCCCAGGTGGAACTACTATTCTAAAAGGAACAGTAGATAGTGCAAAGTAAACAAATAGTTGTTGAATGATCAAATGAACAAATATACGAATCTAACAGCATCAATCTGACTTGCAGGAATAATAAACGTAAAATCTAAGCAGTCTCCAGTGTACTTAACAAGCCCAATCTTAAATTATTAATATTTAAAATGTTAATCTATTCAATTAAATATTTCAGCCAGAACTTTTTTATGGAATTCTAAAGGGCTTTCACAAAAGTCTCTTATTTAATACCAAAATATCCAGGAAGAACCCTCCCCACCCCCACCCTCCTCCACCCCCTTTCCTTTCAGATGGGACAACAGAAACAAAGAGAAAGGGAATGGTTGACCTACAACTAGAGTCTGGGTCCTTCACTTTCAGTCCAGTGCTGTCTCCATTAGACCAGAGTAAAGAGTTAACAGGTCACCAATGGCAGGCGCATCTTTCTCTGGGGTAAGGACTTAAGGAAGGGTAAGTGACTTAGGCAACTATGGAGTGAAAAGGAAAAGAGCACAAAAACAAATACTTTCCTCCTCTTTTCAAATACATTTCATTTCCAACTTTGCTTTTTAAAATATCAACATCCTAATGAAAACCTATTTAAGTACAGTATTACAAGAAATGTATAAAATACTCCTTAATATCTGTAAGTTTATCTATAACTTGGGGGGGGCGGTTCTTATAAAAGTAATTCAAGCTCATTAAAGAAAATCTGAAAAGTTTAAAGCAGAGGGGGGAAAAAAAAACAAAACCCATTGCTTTTGAGTCGATTCTGACTCACAGCCACTCTATAGGACAGAGTAGAACTCCCCCACAGGGTCTCCAAGGAGCGCCTGGTGGATTCAAACTGCTGACCTTTTGGTTAGCAGCCGTAGCTCTTAACCACTACACCACCAGGGTTTCCGAGGGGGGAAAAAGGCATTCATAATCCCACCATCCAAAAGCAATGACATTTCTTCGTTACATTCCTTCCCTCTCAGGCTTTAGTTAGATGCAGTTAAAACAGATTACATCATACGCTACAAAATTCCTATTTTTGTCACTATCAAACTTTTTCCCATGTCATTCACAAATTTTGTTAAGGATAATGCTTAATGCCTGAACATATTCCACATTACGTGTGCCATTCCATACTTCTCTATTGCTCATCTCTGAAAAATTTAAGGCTACCTTCAGTTGGATGAAGTTTTATGTAAAAATATGGATATTTAATTACCTCTTTAAAATGATTCAGAGGTGGAATTACTACCTCAAAGAATACGAATATTGTTAATTTGCTTTCCAAAAAGCTTGTGCCAATTTATAGTTCCAATGAGTGTTTAAGAGGGTCCAATTTCACCATGTCCTAACTTTTGAAATTCACTCATTAAATAATTTATACTCTTATTTTTAAATATTATAGATATTAAACTTATACATAAAAAGTTTTAGTTCCTATTTCATTTGTTTATAGTGAAGATGAACACTTTTCAACTATCAGCCACTTTTATCTTCTTTTAAATGTCCATAGATAGCTCGCCCAATTATGTTTTGAACATTTTATTTTGCACAAGCATTTTATACGTTAAGGATAATAATCCTTTCAGACCTATGCTGCAATTACCAATAAATTAACAAAATGTTTAAAAATAAATTTTCCTGTCAAAAGAACAAAAGAAAATTCTTCTCTTCCTATTAAACAAAATACATTTTACACTTTCCAAATACTTGGTATCACTTGCCAAGCAAATGAAATCCAGCAATTTCTGCTTTTCATATAATGAAGATCATCACATTTCCTCACCAAGTGTCTTTCCTATGAAAGTAACTTTTTCAATCAACGTCCATAATAAAAATGCACTTTTACCATCCAATGAACAATTCAAAACTTTCTGAAACCCAATGGTAAATGTAGTTCTTAATAGACTCAAGAGACACTATGATAGTTCAAAAGTAAATTAATTGAGAAGAGGGGAAAATAGCATCTCATTTTTGGAAACAGGAAGTTTCCAATTTGAACTTTAAAATATTCAAGTCAAGGCCGACCATACAAAGGGACAATACTCAAAGGAGGGTCACAGTTCTGAAGTGTCCTACTGTTGAGTAGAAAACCCTTCCACAGTGATTTTTTTTGTAATTATTAGATTTAACATCATTATAATTCTAATGAACAAGTTAAATCAGGGATTCCTGTATTTTGGAATCCCAGCATTAAGACTACAAATAAATATTACTTCACATCTATCACCAAGGACTCAGATGTTTCTTTCTAATGAATTGACCATTACATTCCCAAAGTTCTGAAATGGCCAACAGACCATAGGAAGACATTTCTTTAGGCTCCTGCTTGAAACCAACAGCTCCATTAAACTGCTGGCCTTGATTCAGGGCCAAAGGAAACTAAAGGCCTTCAATTAAGCAAATAAGCAGAGATTAAGATTCCCACTAGCCCTCACTCTAGCTAGCAAATCAGAGATTGAGTAAGCAGAGTAAAAAGATACGGGTAAGGCAATGTCTGGTCATTGGAAGAGACTGATTGGAACAACGAACATCATCCACAAATGCCAAGCACCTCTGACTGGAACGAGTGGTATGGGCCTAAAATGGAGAAAACAGATAAATCGAAAAATATATATAATCCACGGAAGTACATATAACCAATTACCTATGATGACGATACTCAAAACACCTCTCTATATTGTAAAAGCATGCTACAGCCTAAGGGTTTTCAAACTAATTTGTCTTTTAGTAGCAGAACCCTTATTTAACTTGTAATCTTATGCGGAGCCTCCATAAATATAACAAATAAAAATGGAACTATTCTCACTGAAGCAGGGACCATGCACTTAACAAATTTAAAAAGATCACTTGTTTCCTATCAACTTTATTTTCTAACATTCAATTGCTCCTATTCTTCTATCTATAGTCCCACCTTTTCAAATGAGACTCCCAAACAACTCGGGCAATCTGTGCCTATTTCTAAACTGAAGAATTTCTGAACCACTTAAGTAGAAATCAATTCCAAACGTTCAATTTGCAGATGAGAATGTTGAAGCCCAGTGAAGTTAAGCTATTTGTGCAGGCACAGAGCTGGTAGTGAACTGAAACTAAAACCCGTGTCTCCTGACTTCTAAGTAAGTGCTCTTTTTACTACACCCAGGTCCCATAAGTCAGATTTGAGAGCCAAAACTGGATAACAGTGTTTTGACAAGCACCTTAACTCTGTAAATGTATATAACCTTAGAGATATACACACAAACTACCTGTTGGGCTGCACCATCTGTGGCCAGCATTCTGCGTTCCTTCAGCTGTCTGTGTAGTAAGGCTTCCACTCCATAGCGCTGGCGATACCGCCGGAGACATTTCAGTCGCTTCAAGTTCTCTCGTTCTTTGGCCAAAAGTCCCTCTGGGCCAGTGAGGAGGCTACTACCTGGAGAGTCACAACACTCAAGATGTTATCTGCTAAGCACCCAATCAAAATGCTACTCCAAATTAAGGAGTAAACAAGGAAATCTGTTTATTCCTTGTTAAACAAAAAAAACCCGGACTCCTAGCTACTCTACATGACAGAGCAGAACAGCCCCAGACGGTTTCTAAGAAATGGCTGGTGGATGTGAACTGCCAACCTTTTGATTAGCAGCGAAGCTCTCAACCACTGTGCCACAAGGGCTCCCTTACTCCTTGCTGGCAATTTGAAAAGCAAACCACCACCCCCTCATCCAGGGTACCAAGACAGAAGTAAATCTAACCAATACTAAATTCACAGGCTGGCCCATGACAAGCTTTGTTGGAACTACCACAAAACTTGCCTAGAGCTTCATGTTCCACTTTGCGATTATGTAAGTAACGGCGCTTCTTCTCTTTGAGCAGATGCTGAAGTCGTTTAAACTGATCTATGTACAGAGACTGCAAACGAATTAGCTTCTCACGCATAATTAGGGCCACTTCTTCTGCTGTGTAGACACCAGCATGTCTGGAATAAAACAGAATTCAGCAAACCATAAGAAAAGCACAATAATAAAGCCCAAGCTTTAAGTAGAGAGGTTGGACTTAGTTTGTTATTTAACAAATAGTCAGTGCTAACTGAAACCTTATTAAACAGGAATGCTTTCATAAAGCATTTTACCATTCAAGTTGTTAGTAAAAGGAAATCAAGGATGGATACTAATGTCTGATCTCACAAAACAGTGGAGGTGTATTTGTATTTCATTATATTTCTCAATTATATGCATTGTTAAAAAAGGGTGAAAATGTGGAATATTCGACATTCTCATGAATATATATTCTTTCATTTATTAGTCAGGACAGCTTAAAAGTATTCAATTTAGTAACATGTACCTTAGTATACTTTACTTAAAGCACAAAAGACACCAACAAGAAATGACTACAAACTTCTAAGTATGTTAATTTTTTTTTTTTTTTTTAAATATATTCCTATATTGGAACTAGGAGCCCTGGCGGTGCAATGGTTAATCGTTCGGGTGCTAAATGAAAGGTCGGTGGTTCCAACCCAACCAGTGGCTCCCTGGGAGAAAAGACCTGGCCATCTGCTCCTGTAAAGATTACAGCCTAGAAAACCCTATGGGGCAGAGCAGCTGGGTGACTGGGTGGGTTCGAACAGCCCAGCACTTAACCATTACATCACCAGAGTATACACCTCTTCAAAACACTAAGTTTGGTTATCTAGCACCACAATGGAAAAAAGAATGAATATGCTTTGTGTTATGGTTTGAACTGCATCCTCCTAAAATACCTATGTGTTGGAATTCTAACCCCTATTCCTTTGGATGTAACTGTTTGGAAACAAGGATTCTTTGTTATGTTAATGAGGCCATACCAATGTAAGGTGTGCCCTAAACCTAATCACTTTTGAGTTCTAAAAAGGGCAAATTAGGCAGAAATTTAAAAAAAACCGCTGCTGTCCAGTTGATTCTGACTCACAGCGACCCTACAGGACAGAGCAGAACTGCCCCATAGCGTTTCTCAGGAGTGGTTGGTGGATTCAAACTACCAACCTTCTGGTTAGCAGCCAAACTCAACCACTGCGCCACCAGCAGAGGCTGCTGCCAAGAATCAACAAACGTCCCCGACTATCAACAAGGACGGACAAGACCAACCCTGATTTGGACTTTTAGCATCCAGAACTGTGAAAAAATAAATTTCAGCTCTTTAAAGCTACCCATTCATGGTATTTGTGTTTATATCAGCCCTAGAAAACTAAGACAACTTAGTATTGTTACTAATTGTGAGAATTCTGCTAGCTAATGTCCTTTCAAACTGCTTAGATGGACTTTGCAAATTAGTACTTCCTAAATAGCTGACTATACTGAGGTTACTCAATAGAAACAGGTAAAATTGATCTACTCAGAAAATGCAACCCTAAATGACTCTTACAAAACTCTTACAAATCCAAGGTGTAATGAAAAAACATACATTCCAGGAATGAAAGTCCAATACAGTCAAATCTAGAAATTCATTACTCCTAAAATTACCTAAAATGTCAGTGGCAAATGTTAAAAGGCCAGAGTGAGTAAGCAAAAAAAAAAAAGAGAAAGAAAGTGAGAGACACAAAAATATCTTTGGAGTAGAGATATTTTTATGTTTCTACAACTCCTGAAATGATGACGGATGCAGTGAAGACCTTTACTAAGATACAAGTAGGCTGATTACTCACTTCTGAGTTTCTAAATTGGTTTCTCTTTCTTAGGCAGGAAACCAAAAGAAATTTTTGAATATATTTTTCTTAAGAAATAAAATTCCACAAACACCCAAGGAATATTACAAAATAGTGATTATTCAAGTACAGTAACCTCACTATTTCGAGGTTTAGGCCAAACACCTAGTTACATCCTTGTTTTCTCTCCCCTAACTGGTCTGAGCCTTTCTCAACCCTCACCCTACTCCCAAGTCCAAGAAATTTCCCCACTCTTTCTCATGTGAAATTTGATACTCAAAGAAATTTTCCCGAATTTTAAGCTTCTAAAATAATCAAATCCTGCCCTGAATCAAGATGGTGACAAACCATGACACTTTAATATACAGAAACCTGTTACTGCTCACAAATAGCTATCTTCAACCATCCTAGGTTATTAATCTATTAACAACATGCAGTACTATATTTCACATACTAACTACGTGAAAAAAGCCACATGTGGAGATGCAACTTACTTGAGGGGATCTTCCTGATCACTGTCTATACTATCAGCTTCACTGTCAGGGTCACCTCTCCATGTCTGATCCACAGTAATGGGTTCCTGCTCCCCATCACTCCAGCTGTCTTCATCTGAGGCAACGAAGGGAGAAGAGCCATTAAGACTTCCCACCTCTGTAACTCCATCACACAAAACTAGATTATTTTACATAACCCAAAATCTAAAATTAAAAAAAAAAAAAAAAAACAGTACAGAGGCACTGGCTAATAAAAATAGTTTTATAAAATATATAAACCAGTTAAAATTAGGTAAGATTATAAATGAGTTAACCATGCCCGCTCTACAGGCTAGAAAACCAACTCCAAAGTATTCCTGTTTCCTGAAATTACAAAGTTGCTAAACATAAAAACAGCAACAAAGGAAAAGGAAAAAGTCATGGTAACTCTAAGCACACACTATTTATTATGGATTTAATTATATCCCTGAAAAACGTGTGTTGTAAATCCTAACCTCTATGCTTGTGGTTATAATCCCATTTAGAAATGGGTTGTCTTTGTTCTGTTAATGAAGCAGGATTAACGTATGGTGCCTTGAGTCAATCTCTTCTAAGATATAAAGAGATTAAACAAAGGAGCAGAGAGAGAAAAAGGGAAAGAGAGATGCCAAGTCACATGAAGATCACCCAGGAGAAACTCAGAAGAGGCAAGGACCTTCCTCTGGAGCTGACAGAAAGAAAGCCTTCCCCTAGAGCCAGTACCCTGAATTTGGACTTCTAGCCTCCTAAACTATGAGAAAATAAATTTGTTTGTTAAAGCCACCCTCTTGTGGTATTTCTGTTGTAGCAGCACTAGATAACTAAGACTTTACTTCAAAAGAACTGGCAAAAACAAAACCCAGTGCCCTCAAGTCAATCCCAACTCACAGTAACCCTATACAACAGAGTAGAAATGCCCCACAGAGTTTCAAAGGAGTGGCTGGTGGATTTGAACTACCAACATTTTTGGTTAGCAGTTGAGCTCTTAACCACTGCACCAACACAGCAATCCTGGAATTCTCACCAATTCCCAATGAATCAACAGTTACATTGTATTATCAAGCGCCAAATATGCTCAAGGAATGTATTAAACCAAAATAAATTCTTTAATATTCTACCTCCTTTTTCATTCTAGGAGAGAAGATCCTTACCCAGAATTCGACTAGCTTCGCTGCGGTTACTTTCTGGAGTCTGAGAACCCAGCTCTGTCTTAGCATATGAGCTCAGCTGGCACAAGAGTGTTTCACCCATAGGCCCTGGGTTAGTCTTCTTCATTTGGGCATGAAGTGCCATGGCATTCCTACGGGCATGTTCAGCACAGAAGGACACCCTAAGGAGATAAAAGATTAAACATTTTATACTCAGACAGGTTCCTTCTTGAAAGGATTCAATAATTTTCACAGTCACTGATCTTCAAATCATCTTTAGAAAATTAAAACGAGTATTAGATTTTTAAAAAGGCCAATGAGTCAGAAGAATTTAACTTGCCCCAAGGTCAATCAATTTTGTGTTACTAAAGAGAAATGCAGGTAGCATAATCCAACGCTCTATCCATCTGTACCCATTCCAACCATAAAAATGCTGACATCACCTCAGAACAAATCAAAGAGATCCACTCTCATTTTTCAAAATCGGTTCTGAAAGGCCACCTATATTTTACTTTAGTATCAATACATTATAGATAAAATTTACGACGATTTTATAACTAGAAGATACAGCGAAATCTAGTGAAAATTTGTTTTTGAGGTCACGGATACCTTTCTGCATATGATGAATGCTGCGAAAACTCTCCCAGAAAAAAGCACACATACACAATTTTCATTGTTTAGCAATGTTCATGGAAGACCAAGAGTCATAGACCCAAAGGTTAATAATAACCTAAAATATTCCTTCTGTTACAGATAAGGAAAAAGATACAAAGGAATGAACTTGACCCATCCAAGGTTACTTGGAGAGAACCCAGGTTTCCTTACAGTTTTCTCAATTTTTATTTTTTCCAATTTTCTATTTATTTTCCAATACGTCCATAACTTCAAGCCCACAGCACACTACATCTCCCTCACATTTTAAAACTTAAGCCACAAACGACATATAATCTATACATATATACCCATCTTTCTTCTCAGGCTTTGGGGCAGCACTGGGACATCTTTTTCCATTCTTCGTCGATATATAACTACACTGCTTGAAAGGTGCATTCTTGTCTTCAAGGATATGCTTAATGCAAAATTCCTGTCCCTCCAGACGAGGCTGAGAGCATGGGCGATGAGTGAATGAACAAGACAGGGGCTCCTGAGACCTAGGCACTGGAGTGATCCTCCCCCGATTGGTTGGCAAGACGTGAATCCGAATCCTGTTCATACCAGAACCTGCAGGGACATACAAAAGATCAAAAAGCCCTTACCATTCCCGAAAATTCCTGCTCCACAATTTGCGGACAGACCGCGAGTAGTTTCTAACGGACAGGAAAAAGTTGGCCTCGGAGGAAAGCAGGGTATTCTCCATAACTCCCCTCTGCCCTCCTTTACTCCCTTCACGCTTTCCTCAGCCATTTGTGAATTTGCCTCACCTCAAGTTCTCCCTCCATAACCACCCCAACCCGGTCCACCACTACGTCGAAAGTATATCAAGGACTCGCACGGATGCAGCACCACGAGGAAGCGCCAGCGCCGACTCCAAGCGGCAACAACGCCGCAGGACCTCGCCCCGCCTCCCTGCACGTCGCCTTTGTTCAGGCCCGCCTCGGAGCTCACGCCTCGGCCCGGCCGGTCCTCAGCGGACCGTGAAAGCGCCATTTTGTCCTAAGGCTCAATGCACCAGAGAATCTGGCTCCTGGGAGCCTACAGGAAGGCGAGAGACTCTGCCGCTGGTTGAGGCAGACTAGCAGCTCCGAGGGAATATAATGGGCGAAGCAGCAGCCTAACTGCAAAAACGCAGATCAAGCACAGCCGCCATTTTACCTCCGCTGCCGCGATGCGCCGCGCCGCTCTACCCCGCCCCCCACCCCTGCCGCGTCAGACTCTTCTGACTCGGCCCCGCTCCTTTCCGGGCCCTAAGCCCTGACTGGCTGTGGCTCCTAAGAAGCTGTGTCACCATTGGCCGAGACCAGCTACCTATCACGTCTGAGGGGGCGGAGCGCTGAGAAAATGAGCGGCTAGGACGGCTGGGACGAACTGTCAGCAACTCCGCCCTGAGGGTAGTGACCCCAGAAGGTGGGATGCGGCGCTCGTCGGCGGATGTGGATGTATTTCCGGCTCGTGGCGTAGCGTTGTTTCAGATCGCATGTGGCTCGTCTCCATGTCGTTGGAGACTGCTGCTGCTTCACCACTGTTACACAGCGGGAATAAAATCAGACATGCAGAGGCTAGAGGATCACTGTACGTTTGACGCTTACAGGAAAAGACTTTAGTTTTCTTTTGTGAGTGGTTCAGTACGTTTACTGAACATCTATTTGGTGTAGAGCACGCAGAGAACCATTTTGTGAGTGTTTACTATGAGTCTGGGAAATTACATGTACAAACCCTTGCCCTTTAATGTTACGTAAATTTTTGTTGTATAAATTTGCCCTCACTTTGAAACCATTGAACCAGTCCCTACTCGCAGCAAGTTCTTCGTTCAGACACCGTCACTTGCTGCACAAGCAGCTTGTTGAAAAGGCTTCGAGTCTTTTCTTGCACTGAAGTAAGGCTAAATAACCGTATGTACCTGTTTAGATTTACCTACAAATTTGACTTAAAGACTTAAGACAAACTAATCTGGTTCATAACTCAGGAACTGGCTGTAAAGTGCATTGGACTGAGAATAAGGAAATAGGAGTTCTGATTTAGGCTCTGCTTCTCATAACGTGTGCCCTTGATGCTCTAAAAAAAGAGGTTGCATTACAATTCCGTGCTGAATAATGAAGATAATAATATAGAAATGACTAACAACCCCAGTTTTCATCATCCTGTAAGGATTTATAGTTAACAGTATCACTTCTGCCATTTCCAACACTCTTGTAGAAATAATCCAATGCTTTCTCCCTCATAACCTTTCTAGACCATTTTTGCCTCCCAACCTTCCCAGGATCCCTTATCTGATGACTTTAAGGAAGATATTTTATCCACGACCAATGAGCAGGTGAGCATGTTTCACAGTGGAGGTGAGCATAGAGAATCTACATCGTTCAAAAACAGCTGTCAGTTTAGAGCACAAGAAGTGACTGAAATAAAAAGGCAAGAAGGGGAGCTGTTCCCAGAGACTATGGCAGCCCTAGAGGAAGGCCCTTTCCTGAGATTGATTCATTCAACAAATATTTAATGAGCATTTAAGTGTCAGGCACTGAGGATACAGTAAAAAACAAGAGAGATAACCCTGCTCTCTTGGAGTGAACATTCTAGAATAGTTTGGCATGGTGTATGCAATACAAACATGATAATAATAGCAACTACAGTTTACATACACAAGCAAACAAAAAACTCAAAAGGGGTTCAAAGAAGATGTTATGAACATCCTATAACTCAAAACTAGCTGGAGACAGTTTATAGAAAATTTGGCTATCAGAATCTGCAATCAAATGTGGTAATATGAAAAAAAATACTAAGCTAGTGAACAATGTAAAGAGGCACAGGAAGACAGGAACACAACAAGTTTGTTTTTTTTTTTTTTTTTT